TGCCCGGCTGCGTGCCTGCGACGTGATGGGGACAAAACGGGCCAGCTCAAGGCTTCCAGAGCTGCCGCAGCTCCAGGCAAGTGAAGCAAGTGCATGACTTATCAGAGACGTAATGAATTGAAGGGAAGATCTGTCCCGTGGGGCTGCAGAGTCCTGCGCTGGAAAGCTGAGGTGTGTTGTAGTGTCGTTACTCTCCTGTCTTGCAAAGCTATGGTGCAATTACGGGGAAAAGCCTGGTCCCAGCTACCAGGAATCAATCTGGAGCAGCGTGCCAGGTACTTACAGTCACTGCCCTGTGCTCTTCTGCTTTTTGTGTCAAAATGGACACAGCCGTTGGGAGCCCTCGGCCTCTCCCAGCTGCAGGGAAGCAGATACGGAGCGGGCGGGCAGTCCTGGTGCGTGGGATCGCAGCCAAGGGCACTGCTCGTGGGGCGTTCGCTCTGTGTGCGATTGGTACAAGCTCAGGACCTTCTGTCCTGGACTTGCCATGTTTGCCCCGTGCCCTTCTTCCTGTGCCCCGAGGAGGCAGGGCAGCATGTGATGGGACAGGGCAACGTTGGTGCTGCCTTTGGACCCGAGTCCTCCTCCAGAGACAGCTTTGAAACCATCCTTTGCAATTGCTGCGCTGGCCGGTGCGGATATGGAAACAAAAGCCCTGGGGGCTGGCACCGCTCCAGCCTGCGGCACGGGGAAGCGAGATAACTGTCTGCTGTCGCAGCCCTCGCCGTGACATTGATGCATGTCCGGGCTGGCAGAGCAGCAGGGAAGCTGGGTTGCTTCTCCATGGCTCTGTCACCGCACGTGCCTGTCTCTGTCTGTCTGTCTGCTGCATGCCTGTCTCTGTCTGTCTGCCTCCTCTGAGGGGGCTGCGGGCAGCGCGATGTCCTGGCATGGCACAGCCCTGCAGCCAGGCAGGGGCAGGGATTTTTTTAGGGGAGTCATGCAATGGCCTCATGGACATGAGCAGCAGGACAGGGCCTCAGCACTGACTCAGCCGTGGTGTTTTTAGGCTCCCCAGGAATAGCTCTCAGCTGCTCCAGCCTTTCCTGAACAGAGCGTGAAGGAGCTTCAGACAGATGGACTGACAGCCCGTGGTGCCTGCTCTGCTCCGGGCAGGGCTGTCCCTTTCCCTGGGGCTCTGGCAAGGACTGTCTGGCAGGGACGGGCTGCTCTGGTGTCTGGCAGAAAAGCGGTTTGAGGTGCAGCCGCACCCAGTGCTGCGGGTGCTCCCTGGGGTGCTGCCCTGCAGGTCTGACACCCGGTGGGGAGGGGAAACTGAGGCAGGCTGTCTCTGCTGGCTCCTGGGCACGGGGTGTTGAGCTCACAGATGTTGACGGCAGGAGCCCAGGGTGCCGGGTGAGTTAAGGGATTTGGAAGCGTTTCCAAACAAGGGCTCAGCCACCGGCCCACACAACAGCACTTGACTCCTTCCCTGGACAGCATCTCACAGCCGCCGGCGAAACACAGCAAGCACCACGAGCAAAGGTTACTGCGGCTGCGGAGAAATAATTGGGTTGGTCCTGCCACATGTGTAAAAACACACAGAAAGCCCCCGGGGTGATAGGTGCCTGTTCCTTCGGGGGGGAGGGGCTGGCTGTGCCCACCTTTCCTTCTCAGGCTGTGAAAAGCAAACAGCAGAAGGGAGGGCAGGGACTGCACGGGGCCCCATGCATCAGGTGCAGGGGCTGGTGGTTTTCTGTGTGTTTTCTCTTACAGCAATGCTGCTCCCTCTCCCTTTTGAACCTGTGCATTAAAAAAAAAGCAAAGGGAGCACTGTGTCCCGGCCTGGGGGGGGGGAGCTTGCAGCCCGGGGGG